GGGCAGTAGGATCCACTTTCAAGACAGCTCACTCACAGGGTTGGTCAGCTGATGCAGACTATCAGCAGGAGGTCCTGTGGACCTCTCCACAGAACCGCTCAAGTCTCCTCAAAACACGGTGCTTCCCAGAGAGACAAAGTGGAAGCCAACATGCTTTCAGAACCTCGTGTCAGAAGTCACCCGCCATCAAGTCCACCATATCTCAGTGTTTACAGAGTTCAACCCTATTTAATGTGGGAGGAAACCATACTACAGCATGAATACAAGGAGGTGACAACCACTGGAGGCCATCCTGGAAATCTACCATACAAACAGCCGTCTGGCTTGTTGTCAAGAGATCAAGAGAATATAATTGTAATCATTCTCCCCAATCTTTGTTAAATGACTACGAAAATAATTCTAGTACAATGTGATGATGCAGGATGTGGTACCAGCAGCACGGACAAGCAGCTAAGGGAACCCAAAAGATGATTTTCACTGACTCAGTAAATCAGAGATAACATTTGAATTGGATACTGAACAGTGAGAAGAGGCACTGAGAATTCTGAGCGAAATGAATCAAGATTTACTCCTCAATAAATAGGACAGAACACCACTCTGCAGCAGCCCTTGTCAACCTGGGTTCTACGAGAAAAGTAAGTCCTAACGCTCTAAGGCAGCAAACACATGTAATTAATTAATTTCTCTCCTATTCATCTAGAAGGCATAGCTTGTCCCATCCTTGAGAGAACTAAGAAAATATTTACTGAAATGATTTTCTGTAGGACTGAATTCTTTCACAACACCCTAGTTGAGAAAGACCACCAGAGGAGTTGAAAAGATAGTTAGTTCACAGACATAAATAAAGCCATGTCACAAATATTCCTACATAACAGTTTCTAAAACAAATGGGAGAAACATAACTGTGTGCAAGAAGGTACTGCACCGCTCTACCAGAGAAGCTAGAAGGAGAAGGGATAGTTGCCCAAAAGGGTAACAGAGGCCTGGCCGCACCCAGCCCACCCTGGCCCAGAGCTGAGCTGCCTCAGAGGCAGTTACTGGGAGGGTGAAATCAGCCATCACTCCAATAACCCAAAGTAAGAACAGTCAAGGGAGGAAGGGAGAAAGCAATGTGCATCCGCCACCTAATTTTTTTTAGAAGATTTTATTTATTTATTTGAGAGAGAGAACATGAGAGGGGAGAGGTCAGAGGGAGAAGCAGACTCCCTACTAAGCAGGAAGCCCCGATGCGGGACTTGATCCCGGTACTCCAGGATCATGACCTGAGCCGAAGGCAGTTGCTACCCAGGTGCCCCCACCTAAGTGAATGTTAAGAGATCAAGAGCAGAGAATTCCAACCAACTCCCCCCACCCTTGTTTTAAAGTTAGGATTTACAGGTTCCCTGTGATCTGAAGCTTTAGTGTGTATGTGCATGCACATACATGCACCTTCCCACAAACACTGGTGTGTATATGCCACCATGCTTCACGACAGGGATGGGAATGCCTCATCCCCCATCACCAGTGCGGCTACTCCACACAGGAGAGGCTTGTTCTTGCCCACATGGTATAGTGCAGAGAGAGCTAAAACCTGTATGTTCTTGATACAAGGCAGCTTGTGTAATTGTTGGGGTGGGGGGAATCCCTACAGCCAAAACTACAAAGCCAACTTCTGTTCTGCAAGACTGCTATTATTCATCCTCTGAAAGACCAAATAATAAGAAAATGTATTAAGCCACACCTTGAAAGTCATGACAGCATGGCATGCCACAGCTTGATGGGAGCATTACAAAAGAGATCCTGAACCACGTGTGCTAATCTAAATCACTCCACGTCAGGGCTGAGTACCTTCTGTAGTCCTCCAGCAGTGACTTCCTGCAATCCCACTTTCCCTAATAAAACCTTCTTAACGAAAACCTCATAAACCACACACTTGAAATAAATATACATTCATTCCTAAGCTTGCCTCTTGCTATGTATGTATTTTAATGTATTTGTCCCTACTACTCTTTCCATTTTTTTTTTTAAGTCCACAGAGATCACGACTTTCCCAGAATCTAACCACAAACCTCATGAAGTAGCAATAATAAGCCCTATTTACTGGTAACCCTAACTAGCTTTGAAGATAAATTCATGGAAGGCCATGTTTTTAAACAGGAACCTTTGTGGAAGAGTCACAATACATCTTAAGATCAATACATGCATATTCAGTATTAATATGTACAGAGAGCCCCAAAAGCATCACCAAAACTCACCTGCCTGTTTATAACCAGAAAAAAGAAGGGGTAGGGGGCATTAATAGAAGTCTCTGAGATGGCTATTAAAAACCATGCCCATCTCCTACAACTCATGTTTAGAGGAATCCCAGACTGCTAACACACTGGAGTCCAGTACACACCTAGAGCATCATTTCTTGCGATCTTAATTTCAAGCATCACTTCCTATTATATTTAAGAATTTGGTTTTCCTTAGCTTTAAACAAAAGCAGCACCTCATTATAAAACTATTTCAAAGCTGTCAAGCAACTGAAGTTGTAGGAAGGATAGACATATCCATGTCCTACTACAAGTCTGTGGCTGAGCCAGGACTGAACGACCCCCAGCTCCCCAATTCCCAGACCCATGTTCTTTCTCTATGCCACACTGACCCTAAGGGCTAAAATACAGACACTTTAATACACAAAATCCCACACAGTACATGTGAACCCATCAATTATAAGAGTCATTTAACACCAAGTACTGGCCTTATTTCCAATAGCTGGGCTTAGTTTATGCCAATGTCACCTCCTCCAAAACAAATTAATATTTAAGGAGCAAAGCCACACACACAGACCATATCATAGTCTGGGAAAATGACCCTTGAGGCTCCTCCAAAAACTAACACTTCTTCCAAGGAAACATGGCTATTTTTAAAGCAACTTATTCTACCTTAATTCCTATACAAACTGGTATAAGAACAAAATACTAATGCAAGTGAAAACCAAATCATAAGATCCAGTTGGCTTAGGAACTGCATACAGATATCCCTTGAATGATATAAATGAAACTCAAAGCTTCCTGTGGTTTGTAAAAGCAAAGATGGATTCACAGAGCCTTTTGTGGATGGAACTTGAAGAGAACTATCTAGGAACTCAGAGGAAGATTAACCATTCAAAAGTTTATTTTGGGGCTTAATTGGCTTGTTCCATTTCTTTGGAGCTAAATAAGTAAATAAATAAGTCAGTCTTAAATGTATCTCAGTCTATAGAAGGGAGAATAAAAACTCAAACTCCAAAACACATCATGGTGCACCGGTACCTGATGTCAGTTGACAAACTGAGGTGTTCCTCTCAGAAGGCCACCGTAAAACCTACCACATGCAACTGACATTAAATTCAAACTCCCACTCTAGAATCAGGTAAGCAGTTGTAATACTGTAATGTATTATTTGCCACTAAACAGCAATTTTCTCCACAGAAATAAAGTATCTGAATAGAAAATTAAATTTCAACTTAATGAAAAGAGTCTCCTTTAAAATGTGATCAACAACTCTGCCAGTAAGAAAGTACGTTTGGAAACACTTATCAAATTTGTTCCCTAAGGGTATCCATCTACTATTTCTGTAGTGTGATGGTCCTATTGGATAATATCACATCAATCTGGCCACTGAAATAAAAATCAGACGTTAAAATAAGTCAGTCATGAGTATCTGAGAGAAAGTAAAGTACAGGGGAATTGGAAGTTTTCCCAGTGAGAATTTTCCCAAGGAAAAAACATCAAAATATAATGGAAAACAATACTTTGACAGAAATTCCCTTTACTGTAACCATGTTCAGAATCACACAGTCCGTTATGATGAGATGTACCCCTAATATACGTGGCTCAGACTCACGGAGACCCAAAGTTAACAGAATGGAAACAGCTGTAATGTGACCCAACACCTGCATCCTCACCAGTACTAAGCCCTTATCATTAGAGTTCAGGACTCATCAAACTTATTTTCCTCCTAGAAGCCAACTAGAAAAGGACTCTTTCCAGCTTTGCTCTCTCTCTTCACCCCACCCACTTATCTGCAATCCTGGGATTTCCTGTTAAAGCAAGTACTGAGTTTCATCTACAATACTCAAGAACAGTCAGAAATTCACAAATCTCCTATCTTCTCCCCCATATTGGAAAGGGCTCCATGGAAGGATAAAGTCAGGAGACTGGCAAGCCCAGTAGGGTTGAAGATCACACGTAACAACTTTCAGTAAAGATCCTTTATTTGTACCACTTATTTGCACTGCTTAGATTCTATGCTGAAACTTAGTCTTGTCCAGACTTAAAACCTGTGTTGTTTGGGGACATTTTCTTAAGGTTTCATCTCATTTACCATTCAAAAAACCAAAAAGTCTCAGTCCTCATGACTCACAGGTGAAGGAGGAGAAGGAAAAGAAAGGAGGAGGAGAAGAAGAGGAAGAAGATGAACTTAAAAATTTCTGCCCAGGGGCACCTGGGTGGCTCAGTCAGTTGAGCGTCAGATTCTTGACTTTGGCTAGGGTTATGATCTCAGGGTTGTGAGATGGAGCCCTATGATGAGCTCTCCGCTGGGCATGGAGTCGGCTTGAGAGTCTCTCTCCCCCCTCCCTCTGCTCTTCCCCCTGCTTGCACACATGCTCTTTCTCAAATAAAATCTTTAAAAAAAAATTTTTTTCTGTTCCTTTTAAAAACTGCACTTTTTGAAAAAACTTCTGTGAAAAGTGGATGATTACTAACCAAATCATAAAATGCCTGTGGCTGCCCATACTCACAGCATCATTATAATAATCTCTTCATCCAGGTAAGGCACACCCAGAACAGAGTTCACCATTTTGTTTAATGATTCTGTTAGAGAAAAACTGATGTGGTTAGTGAAGTGTGTGGAATAAACCTCAGTTACATCAGAGTCTAATGGTCTCCATAGTCACAACTCTTAGTGAACTATCAATCTTCAAAGTCAATCTATTATGAAATAAATCAAGATTACCAGAGGGTATCTAAGAATAGAAAAGTCCGATTACTTACCTTGTGCAAAGGGAGCACAAGGAACGCTCCTCCCCCACTCGCTTCTATGATAATGGCAACAAATCTGGGATTGACAGCACAAAAGGAACTATCCCAGGTCACTCGAGAAACCCGGATGTCATCGTAACACTGGTCATTTTTCACCGCTTGTCCAAATACATGCCGAAACTTGCTCTGTCGTACCACTCGCCTCATTGTGTCTGTGGAAGAGCAAAAAGTACATTAAAATCCAAGCAGAAAAAAATCAGAATATGGCATTTTGTCTGCTCTCCTAAAAAGTAGCCAAATGGCAAACCCAAATTTCCTTTAGCAGCACATACCCAGAGAAAATAAAATGCGTCAGGGAAAGAATTTCAAACAAATGAAAAGCTCCAAATTCAAGATCCAGAAACAGCTCATCAGTTTTAATTTCAGGAGAAAGATCAAAGCAAAAAATGAAGGAAAATTAGCCTTTCAGGGTTGGGTGGGAATTGAAAGATAATTCACTGCAACCTTCTCCTTTCATAGATAAGGAAACTCCAAAGAGAAGTTAACTGGTAAATCTGAAGCTAAAGCAAATCCCCCCAAAAGTTATGATACTGTGGCTTTTTCCTCAGTCTGCTGAGGTAATTTTTCAGTTTTTTAAGCATTTTCCCCAGACACTGGCTCTCTTGATGAGGACTGTGCCTGCTTACAAGAGTGTTTCCATAAGACCGGCTACGTGTAGTGGCAAATTCAAAGAGACATAAGCAACCATCCTTGTCTTCAAAATCCTTCCAACATAGGAATAATATCAGAGCAACTTAGAACAAGACTTCTGGTGCTAAGTGTTAGCAGGAGTCTGACTAAGGCACAGATAGGTCAAAAGCCAGGTCTTAGAAAAGAACAGCAAAGATTTAAATAGAAAGCAATGTGATAAAAGTGCTATTTAGGATGACAAGAGGTCTAACAGTAGCATATGGGATATATTAGATGGCAAGAAGCTATAAGCAAGGTGATGGCTGAACTGTGCCAGTAAACCAGCCTGAGAAAGTTCCAGAATGATTTTAGCAGTAGCAGTCAGACAGAGGAAAGGAAAAACTCAGGGAGGGGAAATGAAACCAGGGTGGGTTTTCATGTCAGAACTGATCATTCACCACAGCCACTTCCCAAGTAACCAGGGGACTTGGGAAAGGGGAAGCGACACCAAGCCGGGTGTTCCTGGGCTTCCTCATGGGTCACTTCAGACTCCAAATTCCACTAGGTATCCCCGAGACATGTGCAGTGAAAGCTTCATGCTTTGGGATCGCCAGGCCTCACCTGATCCAGGTTTCCTAAACTGCAACCAATATAATTTTCCTGTCTGCTAATATGCAGGACATCCTGTTCATATTGGCTAGGATAGAAGGGGCCTGGAGAAAACATAAGAGGAAGTGGAACATGGTCAAACCTGACAACTCAGCTGAAAACCAGTACTCCTGATCACCATGCATGGAGGAAGGTTAACACCTGTCTACTCATGCCAAATGGGACACGGTGGGCTGTTGCTAATTCCTTCCCTCTGATTCTCTTCCTCATGGCTCTGGGCCCACTGCTAAATGCAGAGGGAGATCATTTATACTTGCCAAAGCCTCCTTCTACCCTTCCAAGGCATGTGCAAAAGTGGCCTCTTTCCAAGCCTGGGGCATGTGGCCGGGCTGAGGCAACAAACGTTTGGCAGGCATCTGAGCACCCGTGTTCCTCAGCCCAGCTGTTGCCAGACCTTTCCAGCTGACTACCAGGACCATATATTTAGAGTATTTGGTAGAGGAGATGGCAAATGATTCGCTTCCACTTGGCCAGAGTCTGTCATTTGTAAAACAGCTTGAGTATTTCTCAAGTATGAATAGATAAGACAGCTTCCATGAGGTGGTGAAAACCAAAAGAAAGTCACATCCATATAAAAGTTAATGTACAGCCAGCTGGTCTCAGGATCCACTTCCCTATACAACCATCTGTACAACTTAGCAAAAGCTGGAATCCCCACCGGTATCTTCCAGCAAGTGTTTCAAAAGTTAACAGAGAAGAAAGGAAGGATTGCACCATATGTCAAAAAGTTACTGTTCATATATGAAGTTTTAACAGATTTAAAACATAAAAATCCCAACAGAAAGTTATACAAAGGACATGAAGAGGTAATTTACAAAAGAAATACAAATGACATTTATCTCCACTCCTTCCTGAAATCCTAATAAAATGCCAATAAAGGAATAAAAGTAGGTAACACCAAAGGACAAAAGAAAGAACACTGGAAAGAAGCCTACAAAAGAGTAAATGTGGGGGTGCCTGTCTGGCTCAGTGGGTGGACAGTGAGATTCTTAATCTCGGGGCTGTAAAAGTTCAAGCCTCATATTGGGTGTACAGATTACTTAAAAAAAAAAATCTTTAAAAAAAAGAGTAAACGTGACAAGAAAATCTGGGAAGACAGAAAGCGATCATGCACATGTAACTGACTGAGGTGTGAATGTTCTCCACTCAGCTGAGTGCCTCAGGAGAGGCTCACAAAAGGATGCCTGCCAAGGCCCACTGTGAAACCCCAGAGCACTCAGAAGAAAAGCTATCTCTAAAGACAGGGATGTGGAAAACAGGCTGCAGAGAAAACTGACTGAAAGTCTAAATTAAGAGGAGCCAGACACTCAGATACCCTCCCTCCAGTGCTGCACAATGAGGGGACTGCCCCACGCCAGCCTCAGCAGAAGCCAGGCTGCAGGCCCTGGATAAGACAACACCAAGCACAGATGAGCACAGATATGAGCAGGTACCACTGACAACCTGGTTCTGTACAGTGGAGCCTCGAGCCCTTGTTCCTGGGGCTCCCAGAACACCAGCTGCCTAGCCTAGATACCACCCACCCCACTGTGCAGAAGATGAGACCTAACCTTCCTCTGTGAGCTCCACCACTCAACCAGCCCCTCCACCCACACAAGGCATCAGGTCAGCTTTTTGTGCCTCCTTTGAAATGTGAATGGACATTTGAGGAGGGCCTTTAACTTAAAAAATAGAATTTTCCCTCTTTACTCAAATAGGCTAGATACCATCTAATCTCACCAACAACATCAAAATGAATATAAACATGTAAAATGCTTTGAATGTTCTCATTGAAAGACATTACGCAAATCTGCTGGCTGACGTCCATACTAAAATACCTTTTTAAAAGTCATTTCTATATTGCGCATAGTGACAACTTACTTTCATCCTAACCACATGCAGTCAGAATGATATACAGGTTCTTTTGCTACAACCATGGAGAAGAGTGTTAGCTACATAGCAGAGTAAGTGAGAAAAGACAGTAGTTCCAGAGCACTATGCTGACTGAAGCCAGGTATGTCCAGGTGCAGTTTGAAGGACAGTGTGAGCGCATTTACAACACGGTCACACCTGACCTGGGCTCAGCAGCCCACATGTGGCACAGCTGCTTTTGCTGTACACAATAGAGAAAAGCAATTTAGAGGGCAGGCTCCAGAGTCAGACAGCCCTGTGAGTGAGAAGCACAGCTGTATCATTTACTTCCTGGCCAAGTCAGTGTCAGATTCTCTATCTGAAAACGGGTATGATACATATGAAGTTGAAGCTATTATTAAATGAGCACTTGGTGTGGGGATTGTAGCAGGAGATTAATGTCAGAGCACCTTGTATGGTTAGAGACACATAACTACATGGTAAATGTCAGCTACTGTTATCATCCTAGAACTTGACATAAAGTCATTCAGATTAAGATCAGTTTTGCCACTTATGAGAGAAGTACTTAACCTTTCTGAGCTTCAGTTTCCTCTTCTATAAAATGAAGGAATTGATACCTATAATAATTCAAAAAATCATCTGACAAAGCCCAGGTCCAGATGCTTTCAACACTGCCACCGAAGCCTATCAAATATTTAAAGAATTAACACAAATTCTTACAAATTCTTCCAAAGAACAGAAGAGAACACCTCCAAACTAATTTTATGAGGCCAGTACTCTAATACCAAAATCAAAGAAAGATATCACAAGAAAACTACACCAATATGTCTTATGAATAAAGATGCAGAAATGCTCAACAAAATACTAGCAGAGCAAATCTAGCAACCTATAAAAAGGATTATACACCATGACCAAGTGGGACTTGTCCTAGAAATGCAAGGTAGGGTCAACATCTGAAAATCAAATAATGTAACATATCAATCAAATAAAAACAAACATCATATGATCATCTCACACAGATAAAAAGCATTTGATAAAATCCAACACTTTCATGATAAAAACACTCAACAAAGCAGGAATACCAGAAAACTTCCTCAAACTGATTAAAACAAAAACCCCACAGCTAACACAATATTCAATGATGAAAGATGCTTTTTCTCCCCAAGATCAAGAACCAGACAAGGATGTCTACTCTTGCCATTTCTATTCAGCAATGTGCTAAAGGTTCTAGCCAGGGTAATTAGACAAGAAAAAGAAATAAAAGGCATTCAGATTGGAAAGGAAGAAGTGAAACTATCTCTGAACATAGATGACATGATCTTACATATAGAAAATCCTAAGGAATCTACTAAAAAACTATTAGAATAAGTTCAGCAAGGTTGCAGGGTAAGAGATCAATACACAAGAATCAATTGTATTTCTATACACTCTTAACAATCCGAAAATGAAATTAAGAAAACAATTCCATTCACAGCAGTATCAGAAAAAATAAAATACTTAGGAATAAACCTAACCAAGAAGGTGAAAGACTTGTACACTGAAAAATACAAGACACTGCTGAAAGAAGTTAAGCACCACAATTAAATGGAAAGACATCTGGTGCTAATGGATCAGAAGACTTAACATTAACATAACAATACTCCAGGAAGCCTGGCTGGCTCAGTTGGTAGAGCATAGGACACCTGATCTCAGGGTTGTGAGTTCAACCTCCCATGGTAGGGATGGAGCCTACTTTAAAAAAAAAAAAAAAAAAAAAAAAAGCAATACTCCCCAAATTGATCTACAGATTTAATGCAATCCCTATCAGAATCTCAGCTGACTTCATAGAAATTAACAAATTCTAAAATTCATACGGAATTGCAAGGGAACCCAAAATAACCAAAACAACCTTGAAAAAG